CATTTAAGGCAAATGCAAGGAATTATCTGGGGAAACTCTTTGAGCCTTTACCAAGTCAACCACAACTTCCAACCCCACTTCATGTCACCTGTGCTGAGGTTGCTGCAACAGGCTCCCCTGCCCCACACAGTGGGTATGTGTACTGGCAGCAGCATCCTCTGAAGTCCTTCCTTGTTACCTGGGGTCACTGCCAACCCTTCGCAGGCTTTGGGGTATTTCTTGGCCTCACTTGGTCTCTTACAGAAGTCCCCTGATGCTGAGATTTGTGTTTCTATGAGGAGGCACGTGTTTGGCTCTTGTCTACAAACTGCAGCCTAGTTCCCTATATGATGAAAATTTGGTGAAGTTGGGAAACAAGAACAAGCCTGTTCCTCTTTTTATTTTCTAGAGGATTCTTGCTTTGTTTTTAAAACCCAAGAAAGTGACAACCAGCATGAGTAATTATGAACTTTTTTTCTTGGTTTTCATTTCAGGCTCACAACCATCTAAACCAAGATGTCTGAGTAAGTTCCCATTTTTCTGTCTCTAATATATTGTTGGCATTTAAAAACTTTTGTTCAACTGCCAACTTTTTATGTTTGTTAAGATTCCTCTGCTTGTTTCCAATTAGGATCCTAACTGACTGCCTTTTTTCTCCTTTCCCTTTTCTCTTCCTTCCTTTACTTGTCCATCTGCTTTTCCTGAACAGTGAAGAGGTAAGTGTGTCTTGCTGGGGTTTTTCCTTCAGTGATGCTCGTGGCATCAGTTCTGGCTTCACCGTTCCTCCTTAGGAAAATCAGCTGCTCTATGTGTGTGTGGGAAGAATGGTTCATGGCAAGGCTTTCTTGCCGACTCCTTCTGGTAAACATGGGAAGGAGAAGAAAAATCCCTTTTGAAAGAGTTTTCTTTCCTCCTGACTTGGAGTTAGATGCTTTTTTCCCTCCATTCCTGCTTCCTCAGCCGGCCACGAGATGGTGCTGGGAAGGCAGTGGTCCAGAGCGACCTCTCCTCCATCGTCCATCCACCGTTCAGCCCTTGGCCTAGCATCCTCTCTTCCTTCCCCACATCTAGCATTTCATTGTCTACCCGCTGAGCACTGCCAAACCGCTTCTCAAAGGCAATCCAGGGAGACCTGGATCCAGGGGAGCGTGAGCAGGGTGGAGGTTGCATTCTTAGCGAGTTTTCCCTGGCTTCTGGCAGAGTCAGGTGGGGCTGGAGGTAGCTGGAGAAATGCAGGGGAGGGTGTGGGAGGATTGTTCATGGCTCTGTCACTCCACATTTCCTCTTAGGAAATTGCTCCATCCTTCATCTCTACTTGGCACCTCCCCATATGTCTGAAACACCACAAGCTCAAGCTTGTTCTCACTGAGAGAAAAGAGTATGTCAGGGACACATACAAACTCCACAATATGGTGCTGGTGTCCAACAGGTGCTTTTATTCCCCATCAAACCCAGAGCTTCCAGAAAAGGCTGTGAGGAGACTCTTTGCTATGGTACCAGTTTTCAGATGAGGAATAAGCCCTGGGCTAACAGCACTCAAGGCGCCCGATTATCCTCTGGTTAATGGTGTGCTGCATCTCTGAGCTGGGTGCCTTTCCTCTGCAGAGCCCTCCAGCCCTGTCAGGAGGGCCTTGGCACCATTTGCATATGAAAGACATGTCAGATTTTATTATATTTCGCTCTGCACATCCTTATCCATTTCCCCCTCTATGCAGCACAGACTCACACCCAAGTGCTGCTTTCTGCTCCCCACCCCTCAGCATATCAGATGTGGTGTGTTTGTCCTGTGCCAGCCCAACTCAACCTTGCCTGGTCTTCTGGGCAACATGCTGAGAAAACAGCTGAAATGCAGAAGTTGTGGCTTCTTTTATAAATTCCTGTTGTTGCTGTTTCAGCACATGACAGGTATAGAAAAGAAACCTGTAGTCGTGTCTGTCCTCCAGCTGTGATAAACACGCCCTTCAGCATCTCCCGCACTGGGTCTTTTCAGCTCCAAGAAATTACACAGCCTTCATGTTTTCACCTGCCTGCCTGTCCTTCTCACTAGGGTGTCGGGGCATGTGCCATGGACCGCTCAGAAAGACATCCCACAGCTCCTTAGCACCCAGAGACACTGGGGCCATGAGCTTGAGCGCAAAGTAAAACACGTGTCTGAGTGAAAAGGAAATTAAAGAAAAGGCTAAAAGTCCCAAGAAAGCAAGTTTGAAGTTATATTTTATATGCATATTTTTGAGTTCATCACCCTTGTTATCTTTTCCTGAGGCACTTTGTAGGTTTTAGCTTCCTGAGGCTGGTAAAGCTTGATTGAGCAGGGAGACTCTTCTTTGAGTGCCACTGGTTTGGAGACCAACTGTGTGTCAAGCTCCTGGCTGGAGCAGCTCCCTGGCAGGGCTGCAGGTCCTTAGTGGACTGTGGCATTGCATGGGGAAGGGCAATGGAAAGGGGAATGGGCACCTGATGACCTGCTTCTCACTTGTTTCTTCCACTTGCAGAAAAAGAGGAGGGCAGCCACTGCCCGTCGGCAGCACCTGAAGGTATGTGGCACTGCTGTGGCTGTGCAATGTATGTCCCGACCACCCCATCTCCCATCCCAAGCCACTCAGCTCTCAGCACTCCCTCTCCTAGAAGAAGCCATAATGCACAATGTGGGGACCTCCCACCCCACTCTTTACTGTGTCCCCACCACTCTCTCTTGCTTCGAGATGGTGGTATTGACAGGAACACCCCAAGCTGCCTCTCCATCAGGGCTCCCACTCCCTTGTTGAGCCCCCTTCCCTCTTCCCTTGACTCCACCCTGCACTGACCATTCTCCTGCTGCCTTCCAGAGTGCTATGCTCCAGCTTGCTGTCACTGAAATAGAGAAAGAAGCAGCTGCTAAAGAAGTGGAAAAGCAAAACTATCTGGCAGAGCATTGCCCTCCCCTGTCACTCCCAGGATCCCTGCAGGAACTTCAGGTAAATACTCCTTTAACCCTTTCACAGTGCTGGAGCAGAAAAGATTTGACTCCATCAGTCAGCCTGGTGGATCTAGACTGACCTTCCCATCTTGACACTCTTCTCACCTGTGGTGCCCTGAAGCTGGATGGATGTGGAACTGGCTTGAGAGGCAGGTGGGGTCTCTCTGCAAAAATGTGTTTCTGACGATGTATTGAGGTAGCATTTGTGTGAAGACAGTAGCATGGAGATTAGGACAAGCCACCCTTTGCCAGCTGGTCTCGACCCCACCTAGTCTTCTGGATTGGGATCTTTCAGAGCCAGAGCTATCAGGAGGGAGGAATCATGTGTGTGGGTCCAGAAGTCAATACCCCTCCCTGCTTTCCCCCCAGGAGCTGTGCAAAAAGCTTCATGCCAAGATAGACTCAGTGGATGAGGAGAGGTATGACACAGAAGTGAAGCTACAGAAGACTAACAAGGAGGTGAGTTTCCCCTGGAGCCATCCTTCAGGGAGTCTCTAGCCCATTCTTCATGCCTCCCAGCGCTGCTTGGGTCCATCTCATGAAACCCATGCCCTGCTATATCTCTGCCCCTCTCATTTCATCCCCCCTCAGCTGGAAGACTTGAATCAGAAACTCTTTGACCTGCGTGGCAAGTTCAAGAGGCCGCCCCTGCGCAGAGTGCGCATGTCGGCTGATGCGATGCTGCGGGCTCTGCTGGGCTCCAAGCACAAGGTCTGCATGGACCTCCGAGCCAACCTGAAGCAAGTGAAGAAGGAGGACACCGAGAAGGTACTCCTTCCCTCTCCCCTATGCCCGTAGCAGGACTTGGCCCCCATTCTTCAGGGCTCACACCTCCCTGTGTGATAGACAGGGATGAGAGTGAGTGTTTCTCCATAATGTTCTTCCTGCTCAGTATTTCCTCCTCTGGCACCCGTGATGTTGAAACAGGAGGGTGTAGTCCAAAAAGATGTATAGCATGGGTGGAACTGGGTTCCTCTAGCTGATATGGGGGTTTCCATGGGTGGACAGGTGAGGGGCCCTGCTCAGGTGGGCTCTTACACTGGGGGGGCACCACTCACACCAACCTGATCATCCCTCCCTCAGGAGAAGGATCTTCGTGATGTCGGTGACTGGAGAAAGAACATTGAGGAGAAGTCCGGCATGGAGGGCAGAAAGAAGATGTTCGAGGCTGGCGAGAACTAAGCACCTGCCTCTCCACACCTGTCCTCCTCTCCCTGCTGTCCCTGCTGCCCGCCGGGCTCAGGGGCACTGACCGGGTGCCATTTCTCTCTAGTTTTGTGAAGAGCTGCGTCGTGGCAGCAGTGATGTAAATAAAGCTTTGGTGGGAGAGGTGGGTGTTGCCTGCCTGGGTGGCCAGACCCTGACTCATGACATGGTGCCAGCAGGGTCTGCCCCTCCAGTGGGGTTCCTGGTAGAGTTGGGGAGGCTTTGACAGGGACTGTGCTGTGGGGAGGGGAACCTCTCTGCTGTTGGTCCCCCTCCAAAGCTGGGAATGCTCATGGCCTTCCCCAGTGGCGAAGAGACAAAAAGATAATGGTCCAAGCCTCAGGAGGTGTTGCAGAACCTCAACCCATGATGGCATCAACAGGAAGCTGTGGGGAAGAAGCAAAGCCCAGAAGGGAGGAGAGGGGTGACAGCTACAGGGCGGAAGCAAATCCTTCAGCTCCAGTGGGCTTTGAGAGAGGCAAATTTAAGACAACCTTGACAGCACCTGTGGCAGCACCCCAGGACTGGTGCAGTGTAGAGCGCTGTGGTTTAGAGATGATGGCTATCACCAGAGTGGCATGGGCAGCTGGGGGAGCAGTGCCTCTCCTGCCACAGTGGGGATGTCCATGCCCCCTGCTTTCCTTTTGGGTTAGCCCAGAACTTCCAAATTCCTAGCTGCCAACAAGTAAAACCTTAAGTCAGTCTCAATGGTTTTTTAAAAAAAAGCACAAACAAAAGAAACCCCCAAATTCACCTTCCCTCTGCCCTCTCCCATCCCCCCAAACCCTCAGACCATGAAGTTTCCGGCACAGCTCACTTCTGCTGAGCACAGGAAAAGCGAAACGGCGGCAGCACCCTTGTGCTGGAGCTGTCCGTGCGGCCGCCGCGCCAGCCAGGAGGGAAGATGTCAGACTCGGAGGGGTGCCAGGAGGGTGCAGAAGGTGTGAGCCAAGTGGCAGATGAATCCCCTGGGGAGAGCGAGAGGTGAGGCTTGGGGACACCACACCTGCCTTCCAGTCCCGGGATACTGGGAGGCTGGGAAACGGGGGAGGGCAACGGTGGGCAAGGAGGATGCGCGACCAAAACAGTGATGACCCACAAGGCTGGAATGGGTCAGATGTTCCATCAGGCTTTTGAAAAGCTTCTCCAGGTAGGGAGAGACTTAGATTTTTCTAAAGCTCTCATCCCCTTTGAACTTCAAAGTCCCTGGGAGGGGGTTGATCAAGTGGGGAAAGACAGCTTCAGAAGCAGGCAAGCTCAGTGAGCATCTGGTGACCTGGATCTGCTCCACAGCCAAAATCAGACCCATCTCTAAGACCAGTGGGTGGAGATCAGCTGCATCCTCTGCTTGCTGGGCACATCTGATTTCTTGCTGTGTGCCCTATGTCTCTAGCCAAATTAACCTGGCAGTATTTCAGGCTAGCTGCTGTAAGGTTATACATCTCCCTATGCCTCTGCTCTGCTTTATAGCTTTATCAGCAGAGACTGTAAAATTTGGGATCTGTTTGCTCCAACGCAGGCAGCTTTCCATGGGCGTTAAAAGAAGACAGATCAGTGGCAGAGACCACATCTGTCTGTGGTGGAGGCAGACAGAGATAAACTCAACCAAGGTGCATCACCCAGAAGTACTCAGATTTGGACTGGATTCAGGCTGAGCATCCAGTGAGCTTAGGGGGTTGCCTGATTTTTTCACCTCCAGCTTCAAAGCTTGCATTAGCATTTCTCCCCAAGGCTTCTGAGAGCCAGCACAGTTAATGTTGACAGGGGAAAAAAACTCTTGAGTGACAATGAGAGGAGAAAGGTGTGTCATCTCCTGTCATTAGTGGTTGCACTAAGTGTTTAGGCTGACACTTGACAGCAATTAGCCTTGGCTGAAGATTTGACTGGAAACTTCAAAAGGTGCTGGAAGACTCTGTGCATGACTTTCTGCTGAAACAAAGGAAAGCCTTGGTTTCTGGGGGAGCACAGGAATTCCTCAGCACTGGAATCTACACAATTCCCAGCATTGCTCCAGCGTGGCTTTGCCTCTCTTGCAGGCTCAGCAAACCTTGCAGTAGCAAGGAGCAGGTGCCGTGCGTGGCCCAAGGCAATCAAACTTTCCTGCTCCCCTCTTGCTGCAGTTGCTACAGGTGCTGGTATGTTGATGGAAGCAGGGCCACCGCTGGGGTCTGCTGGTGGAGCAGGGTCAGCTTGTTCCCTTTTCTGTTTCCTGCTGGAGTTCCTACTAAATAAGAGGCTGTCTGGAGGAGTCTGTTCTGTAGCACTCAGACCCTTACAGCCTTTAGAAACATGTTTAAAAAGAGTATATGTGATCAGTGACAGCAGCGTGGTGCATCCCTTCCTCTCTAGCTGTGTGTGTTTTAGAATCTTAATGAAATTTCTTAATGAAACTTGATGACAAATGTAGTGAGCAAAAATAAGTTCCTCTTTGTTTTAAAAATCAGGAAAATTACATTTCCTCCCAATTTGTGTAATAGTTTCATGTGCAGCTCTAAATTTCTCCTGTTTTTACTTGTGCTATTTAAACACTTCCTAGGTGATTACCAGTCCCCAAATGGAGGAAGGAAGTGTTTACTTGCTGTTTGGTGCTACATTTTCTCACCCTGTGGCTAACTCAGCTCTCTCTGATCTCCTCTCCTTGATGAAAAAGCTTTTTTCAAGCTGACCTGTGTATGGATGGAGTCAGGACAATGCTTCTAAGACAGCCTAAAGCATGATGGAGGTGTGAGCAGTGAGTCTTGCGATAGAGCTGCCAGGAAAGTAAATCCCAAGGCTCCTGGGTGTAAATGCACAGTGGGAGGTGTTGGCAGAAAAGTATAGGTGCTTGTCTATTTAACTGTCCAGTGTATATAGAAGAGGAGCTTGCATTAGAAAATGTCCTAGAAATCTTAATTTGAACATAGCCCACTTTGTTTCCCCATACAAATTGGGACATGCTGGCTAAGTCCTGCTGATGCCAGTGCAACACTACTTAAACCAGACTGGTGTTACATTCTCTTCCATGAACTGGAATTGCTGTATTAGGAAACTGCTGCTGTGTGAGCCTTCCCAAGTAAGCGAGAAGCTGGAGGGAGCTCTGGGGAGGTGGCTGCTTGGGTTGTCCTGCCTTGACAGTGGGAGGCTGGGAGCCCAGCATGCAATGGATCTGTTACTCAGAGCTCTCTCCATAAAACTCTGGAGGCTTCAGGTAGCCTCTGACCTTGGTTCCTACACCCATAGCAGTGCACATCCCCACAGCTTGGGCTGTGCTCTGCAGGATATCTGCACCTGGCAGCATGGCTCATGTGGCAGGTTTCTCTTTCCTGTGGGGTCTGAGATGAGACTGGCTTTTCCCAAATTTCCCATCTCCTTCCTTCTGGGGTTTCCCACCCCACGAGCTGTAGGGAGCCCTTGGCGGCCCATGTATGGTCACTGCCTGGGGAGAGGCTCTGCTGTGCCAGCAAGCCCCAGACGTTTCCTTGCCATGTCTGTCCCCAGCTGTCTTGAATTCTCCAGATCCTTAGAGGACTCTCAAGGGTCTTTGCTAAAATGACTGCTGTTGCTAAGTATATCCATGGTTGGAAGGAGGTTGTCTGGGAAAACTGATACTTGGAGAGTCTTTGGACCCCTCAGTGCACTAGATTCCTTGGGGGTGGGATGGAGGGATGGCTGATCCCTGCTCAGGAGTAACTGGTCACAGTTTGACCCAGCTGGGCTCATTAAAGTGGAAAAATAGTAGGGAAATAAACAGGGGAGGACCAGATGGATTATTTAATGAGACTGGGTTATACTTATGGTTTCCAAATTGGATATAGGTGGTCTGGCAGCGGCATTAGGGGTAAAGAACTGTCTCTAATTATAGGAGGTATCAGGTGCCTTCACTGCCCTTTTCTCCTTGGGGGTAAAAAAATAAATTAAGCCTGGCATGCCTTGCCTTGCCTTGCCTCTGAGCTTATTTTGCTATGTAAAGCTATGGGTTTGGAGGAGTGTGTGTTAAAGCAAGGGATTGCCCAGGAGCCTTCATTTGAATTTTACTTTTTTTTTTTTTTTTTTTTTTTTTTAACTCAGAAGACTCTCTGCTGGCTTGAAGGCTGGCTGTTTTAAAACTCTTGGTGTGAAGTCTGGCTCTGAAGCTTGTGGGAATCCCTTGCCCTGGATTTTGTAGGGCGAACTTACTTCAGAGGGTTTAGAGTTTTTCCCAAAATCTGAAAACTGTTCTGCTTGCAGTAACTGGAGGGGCTGGTGGTGTGGCAGGAAGTGCTTAACCTTGGCATGCCCTGGGGATCCTGGGCCCCTCTGCTCTGACCCTCACTGACCTTGCTAATCCAGCCCGGCTGATGCTCTGCCTGCATCCCCTCTTTGCATCCATCACCCCTGTGACCCATGTGACCCCCCAGCTGTGGGTTTGCACAGTGGCTGAGCTGGCTCCTTTCTGCATTGGTGCTCTCCCCAGAGCTGGGCTTGCTCCTAACTAGGCACTCACCCAGCCTGGCTGCTGCCTCTGCCGGGATACTGACTGGCATCTGGAGAGACCACCTGGCCAGGAGGTGCTCCAAGACCTCACTGGTGCCGTGTTTTTGTAGGAACAGCTTTTTCTTTGAAGGGGGTGGGAGTTCTGACCCAAATAAAGTTGTTGCCCAGGCTCCAGAAGGCGTTGGTGTGACCACCTGGCTCCTGGGACTGTAATCTGACTCTGACTGACTGCAGACCAGCAGTGGCCCTCAGGGGCTCAGAGGAAAGGCCGCAAGGATTTGATGCCCTCCCCTCGTCCTCTCCATGCAGCCCTCCTGCTACAGTCCAGCTATGCAAACCTGCCTGGGAGGGATGGTGCTCACCCCAGCTTGCACAGCAGCTTTGACCTCCTGTAGCCACAGTTTCTGTTCCCTTAATATGTCCAACAAACTCCTAATCAGGCTGAGCCTTTGGGCTGACTGACGAGGTGCTTTGGCATCCTTTGAAGCCAAATGCACAGGGAATGGATTCTCATAGGGTTGTTCTGTTCTGAAGTCCTTCATAAGGACAAACCTTGAGGATGTACATCAATGCAAGGAAGACACGGGTCTATATTTTTATGATAGGGACTCAGGGGCCTCTTTGCCCAGGTTTTGTTCTGGATCATGGTCATCTGGTATATGAGTAAAAAAATATGTCCTAGGAGGTGCTGCACATTCTGGGAAGGCAGCTGTCCTGCATGGCATGACTTTGGTATGATCAGTACTAGAGGAGCATCTCCAGTGCCCAACCAAGGTCAGAGTGTCACCATGGTGAGTGCTTTGTGGCTGTCCTGATGGCCTACTGCCTCAGGGAAAAGAGGACAGGTTAACTCTACTGCAAGGCTGGACAGTTGAGATGTTTAGGAAGGGATGCCCTAACTGTAGAACTTGCCCACTATATATTTACTACCCTAGAGAGTTTCCTATTGGACCTGTATGACATCTGCCAGGCCTTGGCAGCTGTCTTAGGTAACCCAAGGCATCATCAGTGGTGCTTGACACCCATGTTTAGGCACCTGAATTGCTCCCTAATTTCCCAGTATCATCTAGGAAGCAAAGGCCATAGCCCTGCTCTTCTGAGGTTTGGCCAGGTATCTCGCAGTCCTCAGACTGTCTGCATGTTCCACAGAGGCTCAGTCACGAGTGGGTTAACCAGCCCTGCTTGGAGCCCATGTATGTTTTCCTTGCCAGTGTATCCATCCTAACACGCACCAGATGTGTGAGGCAGCCGTTGGACTGTCTTAATCCCAGGTTTCAGCACTCAGAGTTGTCTTTCTCACGGGCAGGTCTGCAGTGGCTTCCACTCCTGCAGCCCACATCATCTGCAGGAGAACTTGCAGCAAGGCAGGGCAAAATATTTTCTGTTATTTTCTTCTTTAAACAAGTCCCTCCTGACAGCTCCATCTTCAGTCATATGAGGGGAGTGTCAAATGCAGGAACTACTTGAGTTCACCCTGTCTCAGAGGAGCAATGCATCCACCACAGCCTGGTGCATCTGGTAACTGTCCAAGG